CACTGAAGCCCATGGCACCTGCTTGCTGGTGGGATCCCGGCTGGATCTCCCCATCAGCAGTTTCCTCACTATTAAGGTGGGAATCATAATACCCACCTCCCAGGACTATGATTTGGCTTAAAGAAGCTAAAACATGAGTGCTTTGTAAATTGCAAAGCAGGATACAATCTTAGTATTATTAACCTTTCATAGCTTTGTGCTATATCGGTATTTCACAGACAAAAACTTCGCAAATAGCCGCTCTCCCTCCCCCAGCCCATGGAAGATGTGATTCACAGGATCCCACTACTTTTTCCCACTGAGTCCGGACAAGGGCCCAGAATATTTCTCAACAGCCTCTATCAGCTGCCTGGAATTGGCACAACAAAAGGAATTTCTTTGCCGTCCTGGGGATATCCTGCTGGCGTCCCTAGTACTGGGCAGCTCCTGGACTCTGGTCTCCAGTGTCTACTCTTCCCGCCCACTTTCTCAGTCTGAGGTCTGTAGCTCTCAGCCATCCTACCTCACCCCTCCCTGCCGCAGTCCTTCCAAGGAGAGCTTGGCTGCCTGAGAGGGCAGAGAACAGGGTGAGGAAGAGGGCAGGAAGTGCTTGGGGCAGTCCACTGTAGGAGCTCCCTTGTAAGAGGGAAGAGCTGGGTCTCCTGGGTAGGTGCCTCACCCTTCAATGTCATCCTCATCTGTCTCATTGGCCTTGTGGGGCGTCTTGATGTTGTCCCCCTTGCCCACGACGGCGACGTCGCACTTCACATAGCCCTTTAGCCCCGCAGAGATGTCATCAGGGTCTGACAGGATGGCCCACTTGTGATGGAACTGGTGCTCTGCAGTGGGGTGGGGAGGATGGCCCTGCGTGGACACCCCTGCCAGGCAGGTCTTGCCCTCAGGCCAGCAAAGGCACCTCCTTGGCCCCTGGAGCTGGAACCTTGGGCCATAACTTTGCCTACCTTTGAGCTGGGAGAAGATAGAGGTCCTCTGGAGACAGGGCAGTGGGGGCGAGGTCCCACCCACAGTCATACATGGGGTGAGTGGTGTGACTTGGCAGCCAGAGCCTCCAACCTAGTTTCCCTGCCCAAGGCCTTTCATATGGCCCCCACTGCTGACAGAGCCTTCCCAGGTAGAGGCCCCTGCTCCTCACTCCCCCTTCCTAGCCCTCCAAAGGGGTGCCTTGGGGTGAAAACCAAAGGTAGGTCTGTGGGCTTCTGATCTAGCCCTCCCTGACTCGCTCTGCCCACCCTGCCCCAGTCCTGTACTGCTGCTGCTCCCCCCTCTGAGCTCATGCTCTGGCTTTGTACCTCCACACCTTGGTGTTTGCTATTCTCTGAGCTTGGGATACCCTCATCCCCACTATCTCCCCACATCCACCACTCCCCTCCCTTGGGTAAACTTCTACTCAGTTAGCCCAAGTGTCTCCTCTTCCATTCAGCCTTCCCTGACTTCCTCAGGAGAGCTGGTCCTGGCCTTTGGTCCACTCTGTGTTCCACACACATGCCCCCATCCTGCTGGGGTCCACACATTGTCGTCTCTAATTTTAGACTGAGAGCTTCCTACAGACTGGGACTGGCAATCTCATTCTGCTGTCCCAAGACCTAGGACTGTGTGGCAGGAAGGACAGATGTCAGGGAAGGAGGCACTTTAGGAAGGGTTTGCCCCTCCAGGCTTACTTTAAACCCAGTGCACAGCAAGGGGAAACCCAGACCTTGCTTTGGGAGTCTTCTTCCTCCTGCCCGTGTGTGGCCCCAGCCTCTCCAGGGCTCAGAACTGCCTCCTTCCCTCCTGCTCATTTACTTTCTACTGCAGCCCAGGCCCAGTCCTCTGAGCTGGGCTCCCTGAGGTGTGTTAGGTCTGTGTGCAGAAGCCAGCCTGTCTGGGGAGAGGCCAGTCCACTAGTATCTCAGGAGGGACACTAGGCTCTGAAGAGGACAAGGAGGGCCAGAGGACAGGAAGTCGCCAGAGCCCCTCAAGTGAACTGGCATGTCCCCAGGGAGGGGCCGTGTCCTGGGTGTCCCTGGAGCTAAGGGTCTTGCCAGAGCAGATGTGTGTTGGATGAAGAAACGGACACACAGCTGGTGGCTAGGTGGGAGATGGATCACCCAGAGGCATGGATGGTGGGCTGCATGGCTGGCTGAGTGGATGGACAGACAGAGGGTGGATGGATTAGTGGATGGAAGGATCTATCCAGGGTGGGTGGGAGGACACAGGGGTACATGGACAGATGTGCACACGGTTAGATGAACTAGGGAAATTTTGTAAGGAAAGAGACTAAAATTCAGGGGGGATGTGGATGTGAAATTTGCCTTCAAACTTAAAGGCTGTTTGCAGAGGAAGTGGATTTTTCTTTGTCCCGACAGACAGACCTGTGGAAGTGGGTGAAGGTTACAGGGTGACTGATTTTGGTCTGATGCAGATAGTGAGAGATATCTAAATTAGGAGATGTTTCTAAGTAGGTGTTTCTGGGAGATCTAAGCAGAAGCCGAGTGACCAGTCCAGCTCCCTATACCAGGTTAACACTGGACTGATGCCCTCTGAGGCCCTTCCATAACTTATGGTGGGTGCTCTCAGGCCAGAGATGCCAGACCATATGAGGCCCTGCGCTACATGCTGACTAGCCTGAAACATCATTGCATTTCCCTCCCCCAGGCTCTGACACCTGCTGGGCAAGGCTGGCTGGTCCAGAAGGCTGCTTCCATGTCACGCCTCCTCTGGAGCTCTGTATGGCCCCTGCTTACCTCCAGCAGAGAGTATAAAGGAATAGTTCCCTGCTGTTGCACCTGATGCTGAAAATGTCGTCGTCTTGCTGGGGTGAGGACAGCAAGCCTTTCTAGTTCCAAGAGATACGGATACCACCCACAGCTTCCCAGCAGCACCCAGGAGTTCCGTGTCCCTGGCAGCATGCTGTCCAGCAATGCCCCATTGGGATCAGAAGCTCATGAAGAAGGTCAGGCCAAACTGCAGATGGCCAGAGCCAAGGCATGCACCTCCACTGAAGGGGCCGTGTGGTTTCAGCTTCTCATGTGCTGGGAGGGGACTGGGCTCAGGGACAGGTTCTGCAGAAGCAGCAAACTGCAGGGTGAATTACCCTGGCGCAGAGCCTGGGCTTCAGGCCCACCCAGACCAGGTTCATATCCCATTTCTGCCACTCACAGGGTGGCTCTGCACCAGTTGTTCAAGCTGGCCGAGCCTCTGTTACTTCATTATGGAATGGGGGTGTGATGCCTAGGTGGGGCTGTGAGGGCTGGGCTGCTGGGACAGTGTGCCTGGCACTCATCAATGCCCCATGAGTGGCAGTGGTTTCCTCACAAGGACTCTGCCACCCAGAAGCCCAGAGGTCTATAGTAGGCTCTTTACTGTCTCCTTCCCTACTCCCTGCTGACCTTCTCTTGGTGCCATGCCTTAGGCCTGTCAATGGCACTGCTGAGCCCTGGGCTGGAGGATGTCCTCAGGGATGCTAATGTCATTCCAAACAAGTGGCCCACACCTATACATGGCAGCAGGCTGACTCCTCCTGCTCCTTGCCACACCAAATGGTCAGCAGGGCTGTCCTCTACTGAGGACCCAGGCATGCGTGGGGCAGTGGCAAGGGTATTGGCCTTCCAAACTTTGGGTATGTCCCTTTATCACCTTGGGCCTTGGTTTCTCTATCTTCATAGAGAGATTAGACTAGATATTTTTAAGGTCTCATGCAGGTTGAATGTCCTATGATTTTGTGATTTTCGTATGTATAATCCTGGGTTTGGGACTTAGATTCCTGAGTCACAGTTATAACATAACACCAGCCAAGGTTGAACTAGAAGAAATCATCAATTTGTTCAACCTACTAGTTTAGCAGCATCTCCAAGCCACCTCATTTCTCTCAGCCTCGTTTATCTCATCTGTGAAATGGGAAGAAATGCTGCTGCCTACCTCACTGTTTTATGAGGGTTGAATGTGACAATTTGAGTGAAATTGTCATTGTCAAAGGGCCTAATGGGGTCATTACTGTACTCTGAGCAGTGGGTTCACTTCAAGGACACCTGGTGGTCCCCAAATTGGCCACATGGTAAGCTGTCATCTGGCAGGCGGAGGGCACCTCCTCTGCCTGGCTCATTGTCACATGCTCTCGGAGGTGCCCCGGGGGGTTCCCTTGCTAATTCTGCATGGTGTTGGCATATGAAAACCTATAGAGCTGTCAGTGAGTCACAGCCCAACACGGCTGCTCTTTGGGAAGCCTGGGTCTCTTATAAAAAAGCAATTTTAGAGGCCAAGTCCCTCAGAGATGGCCGCAGCACATTTGGCATTGTGTGGCTTCACTGCACTTGGATCAGGCAGTGTGACTCAGTGGGGCTCTGGAGTCAAACAGCCTGGCTTCACCCCCAACTGGGTGGCTGGAGCAAGCCCCGGTTCTGAGCCTCTGACCCCTTAACTATAAAATGGGGGCACCAGGGCTCCTTCGAGGATGAAAGGGGTGCTTTCGGCTCAGTGGTGCTATCCTGCGAGGCAGAAATCTAGTCACAGCTCCTCCCCCTACTGTGCCGATGGGTCTCCCTCACTGCGCCTCTACAGCTCCTCCTCGGAATGCACAGGGGCAGGGACTCACCCAACTGCCATGGCTACTGGCAGACGGTGAGTTACTGACCTGATTATGAGAAAGACCCCACCAGGCTGGGGACACAGTTGCTCGCTGCATTTGTGTACAGACCGTGCACGCCACTTCTCCGTGGGCCATATGGCTGTGTGTACTAACAGCTTCCAGACGGCATCTGTGTCCTTGCCAGGCTGAGCCCACGAACTGCCACAGCGGGAAGGGCCCCGTGTGCCTTGCTCCCTGAGCCGTGTGCACCAGGGCCAACCTGCCTGTGCGCAGTTACTCACCTGGCTGGGAGTACACGGTCCCCACATCCATTTTGAAGGAGCCCACCAGGGTGCCGCTGCGGAGCAGGTTCTTGGAGTGAATCACCTTCCGGGCAGAACCACCAGCCACCAGTCAGACTGGGCAGGGGTGGGACCCACGGGTGGTGGCACCACCTCAGCCTTTCTGGGGACATGGGCTTCAAAGTGAAGTGGGAGGGTATTTGGCAGGGCCATAGTGGCTCACGGAGGGTGGCTGGTACAGGTGACCAGGCTGTACACTATACAGAGGCACCAAGTGTAAGGGGTGAGGGGCTCAAATCCAGCCTGTGCCCACTCGCCCAGTTGTGGGTCCAGGAAGGGGGCTGGTCTTTTTATGCCTGGTCCAGCCAGAGATGGTGATTCTCAGGTCTGCACAAAGGTGCAGCTTCAGGTTCTGCTTGCCAGGGGCTGCCCCACTCACCGAGATCTTGATGATTTTGTCGAACATAACATCAGGAGAGACATGGAAATCGAACACGAAGTACTGCAGGAGGGAAGGAAGGACCCGAGCCTGCAGTCACTAAAGGCAGCAGCTCTGGCCTGGGGCAGTGCTGGGCCCCTCCCTCCCAGCAGTGCCTGTCTGCACCCCAGCCATTTCCCCTGAGCCCCTGAGTTTGGAGGAGAGGCTGTGGCAACTGTCTGGTCCTGATTGGCCCTGGGAGTTGTGGGGTGGGACCAATTAGGGGTCAGAGCCATGGGCGTGGGGTGGAGAGGATGTAGGAGCAGTGTGTCGACTGGTCTACACTTCTATGCTGTGCTCAGAAGGATCCATAGCCAGGGAGCTGGGATACCTGGGCTCTAGTCCCCTTTCTATCCCTTCCCACTTGTCTTTGAGCAACACATTCAATGAACCTCAGTTTCTTGAGCAGGAAAATGGGGATAATGACACTTCCTCGGAGTCTTGTTATGAGGCTCTGATGAGATGCTATAACTTATTTCACAAATCTAAAAGCTATGGACTGTAAAATATCCCGTGGTTCTATGGGCTGCATAGATACTGCCATTAAACCACAAGGCTGCCTGGAAGATGTGTCCCAACTTCAGAGATGTTAAAATGTAAAATAAGGATGAACTAGGGCGTATGAAAGTCCTTAATCGGCTGTAGATGAATTGCCTTGGGCAGGGACTGTCCTGCAGTTATAGTCCTCTTCCCTGTCCCCTGGAAGGACCACCACTTTGGTGAACTTGTGGGTGGGGAGAAGGAAGAACTGTTGCCAAGGTGCTTGGGGCAAATGTCAAAAACAATAGTGCTCCTGGCTGCCGGGGGCTGTGAGTGTGTTTGTAAAGTGGCAACAGCATTCACCCTGGGTGTGTGCATGTGGAGAGTATACAGTGATGTCAGCTACAGTGCAGGGCAGCATGGGCCCAGGTGGTGCTGGCTGGCGGCTGGAGCTCTGGAGGGTGGCGGGGATCTAGGTTTGGGACCACCAGCCCCTAGAGGGTATCTGTAGCCAGAGATGGAGGAGACACACAAGGAGAGCATGGCTGTGGACACAGGCCCAGGATAGGGCTCTGAGAAGCAGCAGCCTGTCAGCCAAGGAAGGGGGCTTGGGGGGAGGAGCTGGACGGGTGGGGAAGCAGCACAGTGGTGAGAGACATCCCCAAGAAGAGGGGCAGGCCACAGGATGAAGGAACAGGGCAGTCGAGGGAGAGCAGGATGATAGAGGCCAGTGTAGTTAGAAGCAGGCAGGTCCTTGGTGACTTTGAGGAGAGCAGTGTCAGTGATACTGTGGGGGCAGAATCAGTGGCAGGAATTGAGGTGTGACTTGAAGGGAGGAGGTAGGGACAAGCTTCATGCCCTGAATGTGAGGAAAGGAGGGAGAATGGTGGTCACTGCAGAGGCATGTGGGAAAGAGGAAAGGCCTACAGAGAGGAAAGGATGACAGATCCCTAGTTCCTGTCCTTGTGCGTACATGGGCTTTCATGATTGTACTTTGAATATTCTGGAGTAGAACATCTTTTAGGCGAGGGATAAGGAACTAGAAGAAAAATGAAGATAAAGTTTTGGTGTTGAAGGACAGTGCCAGGCCAGATTGTTTGGGATGTAGAAAGAGCAGAATCAGAGGCAAAAGGGAGAGGTTGATGTCAGGCAGGAGGAAGAATGGTGCTCCCGAGATGCCAGATGCATACACATGGCCAGATGCATACACAGGGACAAGGTCTTGACTTGGTCTATGAACTGCCTAGTTGTCCTAGGAGGGCAGATGTTGTGGATCTTCCTTCACACAGGCAGGCTCAGAGCCAGCAGGACTGCTGGGAGGACCAGGTATCTCAGAGCTGGGTCAGCCCAGGGAAGGAGCTGGCTGAGCTGGGGCCAGAATCCTGAGCTCTCTGAGGTGTGTCCATCATATTCCTTGTGTTTCCTGAGCGTATTTCCCTTTTATAGTAGCTTAGAAATCTGCCAAGTATGTTGATTATTCCCCACTTTCCTCTGTTGTTTAGTGGAGCCAAAGGAAGGTTTCCACCAGCTCTAGAGAATTAGCCAGAAGCACTACATAGCCATAGCAGGAGAGTAGCTTTCATGGAAAAGGAATGTGGTGTAAGAATAGAAGAAAGGAACAAAAGCCCAGGACTTGGGGCTGGAAGGAATCATGGTATGATAGTTCAGAGTGATGCTCTCAAGTGGGGGCAATTTTAACCACCAGGGGACATTTGGCAATGCTTGGAAATCGTTTTGGTTCTTGTAAGTGGGAGAGGGACTGCTTTTGGCATCTAGTGGACTGAAGCCAGGGATGTTGCTAAAATCCCACAACCATGAAAAATCATCCAGTCTAAAATATCTAGTGCTGAGTTTGACAAACTCTAGTGTAAAGGGAACAGACAGAAGCAAAATCAGAGCTACTGGGGTTTGTGAAAAGGAACAAAATTGTGATCTGAAACCAATTTAAGATGGTCCAAAGATGCGTGGAATGAATAGTCTTAGAGAATATAAATACAGAGTTTAGGAAATGGCTGCTAGGTTAAAACTAGGAGGCACTTGGGCAGGGCAGAAACATTTCTTGTGGCCCCATGTGCCATGGCCCAGCCCATGGCCGCTGCTCATCTAATGCCCGTTTCTTCCTTTGGGTGAGTATCCATTCAGTAAAGTGACAGTGAACCCCTCCAATTACGTACCAGGCTCTGAGCATGTATTCACAGGGGTACAGGAGTCTGGGAGCCTCCAGTCCCCCCAGGGGATAGAGACCTGGAGGAATAACCCTAATTCAGGGATGTTGTCACCACAGAGAAAGGAGGGTGCTGACCTCTGACCCAGAGAGAGCAGGGAAGGCTGCTCAGTGGCAAAGACATTTGAGCTGGGCCTGGAGGGCGAGCAGGAGTTTTCCAGGGAGCCACAGAGTAGGGAGAGCAGCCCGAGCCCTTGAGAGAGAGGAAACAATTTGAATGAAACCTGAGGTGTATGGGCCTCACAGCAAGCCCCCAAGGCAGCCAAACATGGCTTCTCCACTATCACATAACCATGGAAGGCCATACAGGCTTGTGTCCATATGCGTCATGGGAAAGTAGACCTTTATCTAGGCCAGAGGCTTTTCCAGTGCAGATGCTTCTGACGTAAGGGACGCAACGGAGATGTTGATCCTTAACGTCCTGACTCCCTTAGGGATATATTGGTCTGGAGCCTGCACACCCAGCCCCAGGGGCCTGCAGGAAACCAGCTGGGAGAACTGGGCCCACTTGTGGTCACATAGGAGAGTTTGACTAGGCTGGGCTGAAGGGCAGACTCATGCCTGCATTTTCCTCCTGCAGGTTCCCAGCTGGAGGGGTCTCATGGCTGCCCAAGCTGCAGGGGCACCCTCAGCCCTCACCCACCTCAGGACACAGGACATGGATACCTTACTTGGGCCAGCCTGGGCCCCCTGTGCCAGGTGCCACTGGGAGAAACCAAGTGGACATCCCCCTGTAGGAAAGGGATGCCAGGGATGCCAGGACACCAGCTTGTGGGCATCTCTCCCCAGAGCTGATTACAATGGGGTCCCATCTGGAGCCCAGGAGTCAAGCTGCTGCATCTGAGGTAGCAGCCAGAGTGCTGGGCTAGAGTCTGGACAGTCCTCTGTGACTGCAGGAAGCCCTTCCCCACTTGGATGCCAGTCCCTGGATTTGTAAGATGGGGAGATGGAACTAGAAGGTCTCCAAAGTTCCCCACCCTTGACACATCTTCAGATGATGTAAAGTACAGGAGTGGGTACCAGGCCTTAAGGCCAGTGCTCAGGAGAAAAGCCCCACAGGTTTTTGGCTGAGGTTCCGACAGCCTAGAGGCAGCAGAGCAGAGAGGGTGAGCACACAGGACTTGACCAGCAGGGGGCGCATGCAGAACTCCTCGCTGGCACCTTAAGGTTGGGTAAGGGCTTCCTCACCAAAGTTTCAGTGTTCTCTTGTGTATAAAGGAATTAATAGTGACGACCTCTGATGGTCATTCAGAAGGTGAGAAGAGGTGATGCATGCAAGGGATTTGAGATTGTGCCTGGCACACAGGATGTGCCTGTTAATGGTGTGACTGTCACCATGGGCTGAAATGAGTTGGAAAACAGTGGGGACCTGGCCTCTGGGGAAGGCTTGAGGGGGAGTTCATTCACAGGCACTGCTGGGAGCTGCATGGAAGTGTCCAGACATGTTTATTGCAAAGACCAGCGTGAGCCTGGCTCCAGCCTGGGGACTCAGAGGATGTGGCACCACATGGCACTGCTCTGGAGGCTGGAATGGGCGGGCCAAGGTCAGCCCTGCTGGTAACTATTTGTGCCCCTTGACTCCCAGATGCTCTGCTGGGCCTGGACGGGGCTGAAACCCACCCTCCTGACACATTTCAGGAGGCCCCTTTCCCTAACTAGGGCCATAGGGCCACTGACCTCATTGTAATAGGGGCAGTTAGTGGACTCCTTCATGGATGTGTACTTCTTGTCATCGCCCACCTCCACACACACCACGGGGTCCATGTTCAAGCCCACCAGCTGCCGAGCCTCAATCACCGTGATGCTGACCTGAGGGCAGGAGAAGGAGAAGGGTTGGAGAAAGCTGTGTAGGCCTGAAGGCCTGGTCCTGCAGGGCTAGAGGGTCCAAGGAGCCAGCACTGGACTTGGGATCACACCCTGGGGTCTACTCTAACCACTGCCTCTAATCCAGAGGTGATCTTGGGTTATTAGCTCTGTAAGCCTTGGTGTTTCATTTATAGAAGCGTGCTCACTAGATTTACTTGGGGCGGGGGTGATTTAAAAACTCTGAGGTTCAGACCACACTCCAGACTAATCTAACTCAATCTAAATCTCAGGCACAGAGTCCACCGTCAGTTTTTTTAAAGCTCCTAGGCTATTCCAAGTGCTCTGAATTCTCTCCCAGCATCAATGGCTCTGTTTCAGCGAGGGCTGCCAAATCCACTTCACAGTTTTCACACACTCAGGAATTAAGCTTTTAAGTCTCCATTAACTTGCATTAAATTTCCTGCTCATTGAAGCCAACAGGCTTCTGATATTTCTTTGTGTTTCTGGAATTTGGCTCCTTTCCACATTCCTGCCCCCTCCTCTGTTGTTTAATTTCTTTATTTAAATGGCCAGTGAGGCTTTGGCACCCACTGGAGCCACCTTTTCTTGCCTAATGATTGTATTTTTGTGTGTTTTACTTCACCCTTTCACTGGCATTCAGCTCTCTGGAATCTTACTTCTATCCCAGAAAGACCATTTTCAGTTGTTTGGGGTTTTTTCAATAAACACTTACTGGGCATCTACTAGGGCCAGGCACAGATAAGACTGAAACAAACTACTTCCCCTTGCGGGGCTTACTGCAAATAATGATTGGCTTACATATTTTAAGCTAAAAAGATAGAAGATACAAGGAGCAAGAGAGAAAGAGAGACATTAATTTCTGGTATTACTATCACTTTCCTGGAACCCTCATTTTAAACCACCACTTCTCACTTCGGATTTGGAGGTCTTAGTTCAGTTCACATTATTGACTATGCAAAATAGAAAGAAGCACAGACATGGGGTTGCTGGACTTGGCATTGAGCCCCTGACCTGAATTGTTGCCAGGTCCAAGCACAGATGGCCACATAGGCTCACTGGGCCTCAAGTTTTTCAGCTATGAGCAGAGATACCAGCTACCCATAATATTGTGTGAGGATTGAATGAGATGATGTGTGTCTAAATGGAGAAAGCTCTACAAAATGGGAGCTACATAAATGGTTTCTCAAATAGAATCTACTTCAATTAAGTGGTTAGTCTTCTCACGTAGGTGGGGCTGTGTACGATGCTCAGGATTATTTCACTTGACGCTCTTGAACTTGCATTTAGACAAAAAAGCTTTTCCTCAGCTAGTGTTAGCATTTATCTCAGAACATACTTCTAATGAAACTGGAAGATTTTCTTTTTATGCCTCTCATCCTGGAGGTTTGGTATTTTACTTGCTGTGCTTTAATGCAGCTTCTAAATACAACTTCACTTGAAAGAATTATCTTCCGGTTTCATAAGAAAAGAACCACCACCCAAATTATCATCCACTGTGTCTATCGAAGTCTTAAGTATTCTGAAGGCCAAGAAAAGTCCACATGTCACAAGTTAAATGTTAAACTCCAATTGGCATTGGAGTTTCTATTTCCTAGAACATTATGAGGAAAGTATATAAACGGGAAACTGAATATTTACTAATTGAAACCACACCTGAATTATAAAAGCAAACATTTCTGCTTGGAACTTGAAGCACCAAAGAGACACGTCAAAGTGTAGAATCTGAGGCTTCAAAGAAATTCAATAATTACCATTTCTTTAGGGAGCTAAAAAGGAAATACAACTAACTAAACTTCCTTCTGAGGAGTTCGCCGCTGTAAAGAGAGTGAACAGACACTAGAAGTCTTTCCAGAATATTCTTTGTACAATAGTTTAGAGAGTTTAAACTTCCATGAACTTGTTATACCAAAGATTTTTTTGTCTCATTATTTTTTTCCACGACTAACACGCCCACCCAACGATGACAACAAAAATAACAATAACAAAAGGCTTCCTGTAACTCAAGACTGGGAAGTAGACAGACATAGTTTAGGCACATACCAAAGTTATGCCAGCAAGAGATTAACTTTCCCACTGCCGAGAGGTTGGTCAGTTTTACCTTTCCTATCTTAAGGCCTGGTCATAACGACAGCCCTTTTCCCACTCCCCCTTTTCAGGTTTTATAAGGTGCCATCTTCCTCTCTAAAGTACAGACCACGATGGCAATGGCGGCACCCTGGTTGGAAGCTCTGGCACTAGAAGTAGGAGGTGGAGCAGGGAGGAGGGCAGAGGCTTAAACAAGTAAAACTGGGGAAGAGAAACTCCAAAGGGTGCTCCTTGCTGGTTGAGGGGTGGCCCTGAGGGAAGCCTGGAGAAGGTCGCAGTGCACATGGTGCTGGGCCCGGGAAGAAGGGCATGAATCCCTGTTACCTCCCAGTTCGCTGGGGCTCTATAAAAGGGAAATGCATCACTTGAACTAGTCATTCTTCAGGATTGTGAGGGAGGAGAGTGGCCATCCTCTTCTCCAACCATCAGCAGAGGACTCTGTCTTCCCAGTGTGAGAGATGAGGAGGCAAACGAAGCCATGATGGGACCAAGTGGCCAACTGACTTTTGGTTACTGAGTATTCTACAGAATCCCCAAGTGGCTTCATGAAAGCCATCCCAAGGAACAATGCTGAGTGGTAAATCTAGATCCCTGCCCTGAGAGAACCCAAGTGCTTTGTGGCTTTCTGACCTGCTTCCAAGGGACCTGCTCATACTTCAGGAACATCAGCTGGGAGCTAGAAATGAAAGCTGGTGGTCCCTCTAGGACTGTTCTTCTGCAATATCCTTTACGTCCCTCATCTCAACGTGCTAGAGAGGCAGCATGACAAGATTTTCATGTTGACAAGATCACTCCAGCAGTGGCATACAGGTTGGGGTAGAAGAGGCAATCTGAGGGTGGGGAGGTGAGGTAGGCAGTGGGTGCAATTGTGCCGTTGATGCTGGGGACCTCGGGTAAGTAATGGGGGTGAGGAAACAGAGGTGAAAACTGGAGAGATGTTTGGAGGCAAAAGTGTACTAAGTCCTGGTGCTCAGACAAGAGGGGAGGAAGAGACTCAAGATTCCATGACCCATCAAGAACATCTCTGCCAAATGCCGAGCACTGCTCCCTCTGCCAGGGAAACTGTACATTCACGGGGAAGCAACTGTGGCTTCTTGCCTTTAAGATGCCAACTATTAGGAAAAGTTTTCATGCCACAACCATTTCAAATGGAAGGAACAGGGGGTCTGGGCACACCATGGTCTTTTTCCCTCTAGGCCTCTTTTCAGTGCTACACAACCTTTAGAATGGTTCTGAGCCACCAGGACTCTACCTGGACCTAAGTTCCGCCAAGTTCTCCCAGAGAGTGAAGGCCTGGTTCACTCTGGTTTTATTGCTTTACATGTTGTATTTATTGGAAGTAAAACTAATTCCACCTTTGCATCCTCGTAGCTCTTTCACAAAGTGTGTTAATACTTGCAGTTGAGCTGTGAATGAATGAACCTCTTGGGAAATGCTACCAGGTTAAATACAACAGCTGTTTTCTTCTGTTCAGGTTGAAAAGGTCTTTGGGGGGAAAAATGTGTGTCTCAGCTAATAAAAGTTACTGGCAGGAAGTAGTTTGAAAAGCTTTTGGAAACAAGCAGTAAGTAGTAAACTAAAGATTAATCAGGGACCAGAGGGCACAACTGTCCAGAGGGCTTGATTATAGAGAAATCAGCTGCTCTCACCACTGTGATCCTTTGGGTTTGAACCTTGCTGATAGTCCTGACTATGACCTGGGGCAAGCTCCTTATCTTCCTTGGGCCTCAGTTTCTTACCTATAAAATGCAGTAACACCTGTATTTGGGTGGTTGTAAGAATTATGTTAATATAAATGAAAACATATAGATAGCTCCTTTAAATTACACAGTGCTATTTAAATCTTTTAGAAAAGTAACTTACATTAACAGCAATGATTCTGTTTTCAATGTGCCCTTACCTGGCAAGCCAGTGACATGGTATCTGAACTGGAGTCTTTTTTCATTGAATGTTCTTGTTCTCAGCATACAGAGAAACAAAGCCCTGAGCCCAATCCCCCGATAAAGCCCACAGAAATCTCAGGACACTTGGTGTTTGGGTTTGGACAAAAAGGTAAGGGGGTCAAGAGTCTCAAACCTCCAAGGAACCCAATGACTTGAGGTAGTTTAAAACTCTCTCTTAAAATAAAAACAGGGGCAGGTCCATTTGATACTGCCTGGGACTATTTTTCAAGCCTGGGAAGAAGGAAATGAAAAATAACTGACGCAGAATTAAGCAAAAAAACATGACCAGATGTATCTTTTACACAGATAAGCGCCATCTAGTTCTTTACATAATCACCGGAGTGAAGTGAGGTAGGACCAGCCTTAAAGAAGGCGGTGCACACAGGGCCTGGGAAATGGACATCAAAGAAAAAGCTCTACCCCAGGAGAGGAGGCTGACTCTGATTCTGAGGCCTGGTGCAGGTACCCACACAGGACATACCCAAGGCAGGAAGTGCAGTAGCAGCCAGGTGAGGTTTTCTGAAAGCTCTGCCCCTCTGTTTTGTTTTGTTTTTTTAAGACAGAGTCTCACCATGTTGCCCTGGGTAGAGTGCTGTGGTGTCACAGCTCACAGCAACCTCAAACTCTTAGGCTTAGGAGATTATATTGCCTCAGCCTCCCAAGTAGCTGGGGCCAGGCTTGAACTGGCCAGCTTTGGTGTATGTGGTCAGCGCCCTACTCACTGAACAACAGGTGCAGCGCCGCTCTGTCCCTTCTGATTAGCCACCATTCTCACTCAAAACTAGGAATGCCCAGCAGTCTTCCAATTTACAGCTGGGTCTTGTTAGCCCCCAGTGGAGGGTCTAGAGCAATGGAGGGTCCCTGGACCCTTCCTGAGAGATGCTTCCTCCTTTCTTGCTTCCAGCTTATAAATAAGTACTGGTGCTTCTGGCATGTACATCAGTCTATTGTGAGTTAAGTTAGTGTAATTCTGTCTCTCGGGCTCTGATCAACTCTAGAACAGAAAAGATTGAAGGCCTGGCCTTGCAAAGCTGAGGCCAGTGTGGCCCTGTTCCTGCAGCCATCAGACATGTTCGTCACCTGGTCTGCCTGCACTGTGGCCACATTCCGTGTCTTACAGCTGTAAACCCCTCCTTGTCTCAGTCTTTTTGTCTCTAGTTTTAGAAACTTACAAACAAAAAAGTTAGGTATTAATCTCAGAAAATACAGAGAAGCAAAATCAAGAAAATGTGATCACTCACATTCTTACTATCCAGAGATAATCAGGATTGACATTACTTTCAGCGATAAAACAATACGAAACAATTTTTAAAAAAGACACCAAAATACTTTCTTCAGAGGCTACCATTTTAACTGTTTAAATACTTTTTTTGTGGGTCTCCTCGGTTTCTTAATGGTTTTGCTAAGTGCTTTCTACTTGTTGGGGAGCCTAATGCAGCCTTACCATGAACTGCCCCCCAAGACAAAGGACACAAAAGATCTAGTTAGCACCCCCCAAGTTTGTGCCAAAGGACCCTAACTCACCAAAGTGCTCCAGGCAAATTGTGGAATTTGCCTATCCCTCATAGCCTCCCATAAAAGGGGTCTCTAACTACCCTTGGGCACAGACACCCTCTTTGTCCTGCCCAAGTGGGTCACCATCCCCTTTCAATAGACCTGACCCGAACATCTCTACTCTAGTCTCGTCTCTGAGCATCACCACTTACACCTTTCACCACTTTATGAAGTCCAATGCCGGACAAAAATCCTAGAAGGGCTTTGACCAGCATAAGCAGAGTCCTTAAGCTCCTCTTTGGCCTTGTACCTCTCCACTGGTGATACTTCCAGGAACGTCTCCCAGTAGCAAGCTTACTTCAGAAACTTATATTTAGCTGTGGTTCTCTTTGACTCCCAGATTCATGTGTTAACAGAGTCTATAATGCATATCTATCTGGAACTCCCCACTAGAGCAGAAACTGACAAGCATGAGGGCTCCAGGTGCCTACCTACCTGGTAATCCATGGGCCGCCCAGCACTTGGCTCCATCTTTATGTCTGGCTTAGATCTGAGGAAGAGAATTACCACCATGCTTAAGTGTATGGGGACTGTTGATGGGGGAGGAGGGCACTGGCAGTGGTTAGACCTCACAGAAGAGCAGAGGAACAGAATCACGGCCTACGAACAATCAAGGACTTCTGAAAGAATGAGGATTAGTTGTTCTCAGAGGCCTCAACACAGAGGACTAATCAAAGGCAAAAGTGATAGAGAGGCAGACATTAGGTCAAGGTCAAGAGGTTCAAATATGGGCTGGGTAGCTCTGTGCCTTCCTAGGCTGGCATTAATGACCTAGGGACATGCCTGCAGCTACTGCACTCTGCCTTTGTAGGGAGAGAAGTGAGAGAGACATTCAAGGAGAGGAAGAAAAGGGTAGGGTTGGGAAGAAGCCGTCCATGAGTCCTGATACTTTCTCACCCAAATTCCAAGCATGGCAAGCTGGGTCCTGCCTAATAGGGTGGGGCAATGGGGGATACGGGGCTGCCATCCACTCACCGCTTGTTAGAGACATTGGTAGTGAGAGCTGTGACTGAGGCCAGAGACACAGAGTCAGGATCCAGCCTGTCCCCTAGCCGAATGGCCAGATGGTCCAGGTCCTCCATCTCCAGCACTGCTGGTTCGTCTGGGAAAAATGAAAGGCTGGTTAGGTGGGCTGACACATGGTGGGATAGTGACTGAGTTTCTCCTTTTATTCTGGCATCCACAAAACTGAGAGCCACAGACGTTTAATTAGTCACATCTGCCTAAAATGTTGTGGACTGTATATCCGCAGTGTTTTCTACCTAATTTTGATATTTGATTTTAATTGACATTATGTCTGTTTTTGCCTATTTATTTTAATTGAATGCTCTGTTATTGTATATTAAGCACTGAATATCCTTTGAGGAGGAAGGTAGGGGATAAAAATCCGTCCTTATGCATCTCTCATAGCAATAGCTATCATTTATTGGGTGGCTACTCTGTGACAGGCACGAGGCCAGGAACTTTACACATATATGTCCTATGGTCAAGATCTGCTCCAGTGGGCATTATTCTCGTGTTACAGATAGGAAAAGTTAGGCTGAGGAAGGAATTCATCCATATAAAACAGCTGATGGAATTCAGAACCCAATCTGCCCTGGCATGTATTAACCAAATGTGATGAAGAAATGATGATTCTGAAAAGGCAACCAAGCATAGTGGCTTTGGGCCTCAGCCAGCAGCTGTACTGTCTTAGTATAAGGAGAAAGGCACAGCAGGAATTGACATGGGGGCAAGAAGGTGGGGGAGATTCTGAGGGCCATTGGGCCATACAAGGGATGCTGGGGAGGGAGCAGAGCCAGGAACCTCGAAGGTGGGCCCCTGCACAGCTTTCCTAGCCACTCCATTTCTCCCCTTGTCTTCTTCCTGGCCTCCCTACGTCTTCCCCTCCCTAGCTACTGCTCCGGAAGGGACCTACCCTGCCCCTCTCTCCCGGCCTTAGGTCAGGCTGCGCGCATAGGGCAAAGGCAGGACAGTGAGGCTGCCTCTGAGCAAGCACCCCCGGGACTCTGGTTTTCCCCCAGAAACAAGGAATTGGCCAAATAACCCTTCTTGCTGTTCCCTCCTCTAATTAAACATCTGGGAGCTTCTGTGTGAAGAAAAAAGAAGGGGAAGCACTGAGGGCCAAAGGAGCCCTTATAAACAGGCCCCTGACAGAGGGCTCTCTGCTCATTGCCAGACCTGCGGAGACCATTCCCTTCCTCCGTCCCAGGGCCCCTTTCTTAGACGGCCAAAATCAGGGGGCAGGGCCTGGCTCCTCGGCCAGCCAATGAGAGGCCAGACCTCTCGGTGGGAGGCCGGAGGCTGTGAGAGGCCAGGGAGGACAGCTGCCGATCCCAGCAGGGGCATCAGTCTTACCTTGTCTTTGGGGCTCCTCCTTGTGGGTCCGGCTCTTACCGAGCTTCATGGCGGAGAACACGCTCCTCCCGGCTCTGTGAGGGGCCACCAAGATGAGGGGGAGGGAGAAGGACGCGTGGAAAACACACAAACACACAGAAGAGCCAAACACGGGAAAACGCATAAGAGAAGGGGCGATGGAGACCTCGGCCCTCACCTACTGGCCACGGGGTGGGGGGTGGGGTCTGACTCCCAAGCCCGGAGCCGTGGGGAAAATGAGGGCAGAGGTGCCCCTCCGATTCGTCCTTCGCGGCCCTTTTACCCCACTGAGTAGCTGGATGGGGGTCTGGCCAGTGAAAAGTGGGACCTTGAACTGGAAAGAGCCGTTTTCACTGGAGCCTCCCTGGATCTTGGACTTACAGCCTGACCCCAGCCCCCTCGGTCCAGGCTTCTCAGAGCTCCCAGCTCTGCCAGTGTCCCCAGGCTTGTCCTCCCTGTCCCTGCATCCCACCCCAGCTGGTTAGAAAGAAAGCCAGAGGATGGCAGACAGAGCAGGAGTACAGAAGGGCAGAGGCTGCCAGAGGGCGGGAGGTGTGCTTGGTACTAGCTGTCCAGTTCTCACGTGGCCCTGGTGCCCATAGCCTGCCTTATCTTTCTCCAGACTCTCCTTGGCACCCAGGGAGAAGCAAGAGCCGGACCTTTCCTATTTCTTCTGTCCTGGTTTTTGCCCCTTCTCCCTGTCCTCATTCACTGCAAAACCCCTCTTTCTCCCAACCCTAGGAACTTACAGCAGAGTCTATAGTTCCTACCTCCTCTTTGGGTTGGTGTGGCCTGTGCCCCCAGGTGAAGGGCCTTGCAGTCAAGGGGCTCAGGGAAAGGGGCAGTGATGTCCCTGTAGCCGAGCCCGTAGTCCTGGCGCCAGGAAGGACCAGGAGTAGGATTGGCAGGGTGAAGTGCAGTATTCCATTACCCTATCCATATTGTATGAGCAGACACCTGACTCCCTCCACTTCCCATTCTCCTCCTCCTGGGTGAGGTTGTCAACCAATGGGAATCGGCAGGGCCAGGTGCAAGCACACTCTCCTAAGGTCAGGCATCCCCCTGTGGAGGCTTGACCATGGTTTCTAAGATCCCCAGATCCTTGTTCTTTACGCTGGGTAATGGGAGATTGGGAAAAACCTCGCTGTCCCTGTGGAGATGACCTAGAAACCTCAAGCCCCTCTTCTCAGGATTGAGGAACTCTATCCCAACCCTCAGCCTTTTCTTTACTGTTCACATGCAGGACAGGGCCTGTCCTTATCTCAGTGAGACAGCAATCAGGAGCCACCCCTTTCACACGGCACCAGCTTGCAGATTAGGACACACTAGCATGTTCATGAGCTGCTAAAAAGGGATGAAAGAAGGCTGATGTGTCTGCACTCTCTGGTAACATGTGGTCTGGAATGCAACAATGGGAAGAAAAGTGGGGGAGGGAAGAGCTCTAAACAATCAAGCTTAATGCCTTTGGAATTATTTTAAAAAGTTTCTCCCTGGCTGAGGCTGCCGGCTCACCGGT